TCTTTCTTTCTTTCTTTCTTTCTTTCTTTCTTTCTTTCTTTCTTTCTTTCTTTCTTCTCTTCCTTTCCCTCTTTCCTTCTTTCTTCCTTTTTAGTTCAAATTAGGAACAAGCTTGCTTCACATGTCAATCCCTTCTACCTCTCCCTCCCCCAACCCCCTACCAGCCTCCTACCCCATCTCCCCTCGGCTCCCCAGGGTGGGTAAGGCCCTCAATAGGGGCCCCCAAAGTCTACCACATCATCCTGGGCCAGGCCTAGGCCCTCCTTCATGTGTCCAGGCCGAGAGAGCATCCCTTCATGTGGGATGGGCTCTCAAAGTCCCTTCTTACACCAGGGAAAAATACTGATCCACTACCAGGGGCCCCCTAGAGTGCCAAGCCTCCTCATTGACATCCACGTGCAGGGGTCTGGATCAGTCCCGTGCTGGCCTCCCAGACAGCAGTCTGGAGCCCATGTGCTCCCCCTTATTCAGGCCAGCTGTTTCTGTGGGTTTCACCAGCCTAGTCCCGACCTCTTTGATCTTCATTCCTCCCTCTCTGCAACTGGGTTCCAGAGTTCAGCTGAGTGTATAGCTGTGGGTGTCTGCTTCTGCTTCCATCAGCCACTGGGTGAGGTCAACCTGCTTTCTTATACAACTCAGGGCCACCTGGCAAGGCGGGATATAAAGAGATGATCCGTACTCCATATGGTTAAGATAACTTTATTCAGATAAACACCAGCCAAACACAAGCCAGAGTGTGCCAGGGGCAGCGAGGTGGGGAGGCCAGAGAGAGGGGCTCCCTTGTGCTTTTCAGCCCCTTAAAAACCTATTACGTGTCATCCTGACCTCACCTTGACCGCGATGACTGTATATCCTCTATTGAGTCTTCAACAACTGAGATTCTCCCTTCCATCTCTTGAATTCTATTGGTTATACTCACATCTTTAGTTCCTGATCGTTTATCCAGCCTTTCTATTTCCAGCATCCCTTGTTCTGTGTTTTCTTAATTGTGTCTATTTCAGCTTTTATGCCTTGAACTGTTTCGTGTGCTTCCTTCACTTGCTTAGTTGTTTTTTCTTGGGTTTCTTTAGATTCCTTAAGAGATTTGTTTATTTTTTGAATTTTTTGGTTTGTCTTTTCCTCCATTTCATGTAATTTTTTTCCTTGTTTTTTCTTCTATTTCTTTAAGGGATTTTCTTGTTTCCTCTTTAAAGGTCTCTATCTTTATCTTCCTAAGATAATTTTTGAGGTCCATCTCTTCTTCATCCTCTGTGTTGGGCTTTTCAGATCTTGCTGATGTGGAGTCCCTAGATAGATTCTGGTGGTATCATATTGGTTTTTCTGTTGTCGAGTGTGTTCTTACTCTGTCTTCTTCCCATCCCTTCTTCCAGTGAGTGCAGGTGGTATTATGTGACAATTCGTAGTCTGTAAGGTTAAGATATCTTTATTCAGATAAACACCAGCCAAATGCAAGCCAGAGCATGCCAGGGGCAGCAAGGCAGGCAGGCCAGAGAGAAGGGGCTCCCTTGTGCTTTTCAGCCCCTTAAAAACCTATTACGTGTCATCCTGACCTCACCTTGACCACATGTGGTCAGGCACACCTGTAGCCAGCTTCTAGCAGGCATGGCTTACTGTGCCTACAATTCCCCTTTTAGTCTAAAAGAGGATTAAAACTTAACAGTATAAAGTATCCAAAATTAACAGTCATAAAGGTGAAATACAAGAAGATACAATAATCTGTTATGACACATCCTAACTATGTCTACATCAGCTAAACCCTAAAGTCATCTGAAAAGAGGTGTCCAAGCCTGAATGCCTCCTTCCAATCCCAACCATAAACAATAGTAAGTTATCCCTAACTAGGCTTACATTACCCTAATAGACAATAATGGGGGACGGGGATATAGCATCCTCCACGTTACTTTCTGCTGAAATGGGAAGACAGTAGCCTCATGGGGTCCTGTGGGAAGAAAATGTTATTATGGTGAAAGTATCTAATGGATTATATCCAGTCCATTAGATGGGATTTGCTTGATTGAAGATCTGGGTTGAAATCCTCAACTTGATTGAAGTCAGTACTTGAAGCTCTGGTCGAAGTGTCTGTTGAAATGGAGTAAGTTGTATCCAGTGCAGTCTAGGAAGTATGGCCCAATTTCCTTCTGGAGCGTCCAGGGATTGAAGTTTAGACTCAAGATTGTGATTTGCCTCAGCAGTCGACTTGATGGACCTCTTTAATTTGTCAGCCCTGTTCTGTAGATCATCTTGTAAACAATAGAACCTGGATTCAACTCTATCATCTGCCCCCTTGTATTTTTCAGCCATTGATTTAATGGCATTATCCAATTGTTTAAACCTATCCTGGGTATCTTGCATCTTAGTATCCAGATTACAGGACACAGAGCCTATTTGAGTTTCCAGTTGGCTACATATATTCTTTAGTTCATCACAGTCCTCTAACCGTCTAGCCTCTAACGCCTCTAAAATGGAGCATCTCTCTGAGTTTATCTTATCATAAATGCACTACATTTCAACTTGGGTAATAGACAGCTCTGCCTGTATCGTATAAGACATTGAGCAAAGCCTATCATCTAGCTTTTGTTCTACATGCTGTATAAACATATCATGGGTCAGTCTGGTCTCCAAAACCTCATTATGTAAAGCTTGTATGTCTTGTAGTTAGGTGGTGAAATTAACTATATCCCTGTTCTTGAGGTCTCTGGCTAGTGATAATGCGTGCATTAGTACGCTAACAGCTAGTAAGGCATACAGGCCAATTATTGGCAGATCAGCACCTTCCTCAAACATTGAATTTACATAAGAATCGAAAATGTTACCAATTAAGGTGAATGATAAATATTCAGCCATATTTACCAGTCAGCTTCTACTCCAGATGCGGCAGGAGGTTTTCAGGTAGATGAATCAGGCTGCTTCCACTCCAGATGCGATAACCGCTTTTGACTAGCAGGTGGTACAGGTTTTCAGTTGCAGTTGTTTTGAGTTGGTCCTGAAATTTCCTGAAAAAACCCTTACAGAGCGTGTTAAGAACGGATTGGGGGGTGCGTTTACTAGGTATGGGAAAAACTTTGAACAGTACTGGGTGGACACCAAGCTCGGCAGATTGATAAGGGAAGAGGAAAAGCTTCTTGAACGCCAGGCCATTAAAGACGGTTATGAAGCTCCCCTGGGTAAGATTCTGGGTGAGGGTATTTATGCTGACCCACAGGTTCAGGCTGAATATGACGACCGTATACTGTCCCTATGCAGGAAAGCAGCACTAAACGCCTGGGATAAGGTTCGTGAGCCAGGGGAACGACTGGAAGCTTATACCAAAATAGAACAGAGACTAACAGAACTATTCCAGGACTTCTTAGACCTGTTGACCAGGGCAGTAGAATTACAAGTAACAGATCCAGCAGTAAGACATTCGATTGTATATACAATAGCTTATGACAATGCAAACCCAATATGCAAAAGAATACTTTTACCTTTAAAGATCAGATCAGCTCTGCTAGAAAAATGGATTTTGCATGCAGCCCACATTGACTATAGTGTGCAAGATGCTGGAGTCTGGGCAGGGGAAGCTATCTGAAAAGGTTTCAAAAGGCAGCAGGAGATTAAGAGTTCCAGAAGTGATAATACAAAGACTTGGTCAGATTTCTGTGTTTTATCATGATCTCTATGGTACGGACATGGCCCCACATTGGGCACCAGATTTTACGTGACAATTCGTAGTCTGTAAGGTTAAGATATCTTTATTCAGATAAACACCAGCCAAACACAAGCCAGAGCAAGCCAGAGCATGCCAGGGGCAGCAAGGCAGACAGGCCAAAGAGTAGGGGCTCCCATGTGCCTTTCAGCCCCTTAAAAACCTATTACGTGTCATCCTGACCTCACCTTGACCACGCCCTGACACGCGTGTTCAGGCACACCTGTAGCCAGCTTCTAGCAGGTGTGGCTTACTGTCCCCTGCATAGGTGGGGTCTCTCCCTCTCTCTGGTGGCAGCTAGATGGCACAAGCTAGGTGGACAAGGGTGGGGCGTGTCCAGTCTCAGGGTGGGCCTTCCCGGTCTGGGAAGGTCCACTCTTGCCTGGGTGGGCTCAGGCAGAAGCGAGCAGGGGTTGATGGGGGAGGTTGGGGAGCAGAGCAGTGCCCAGACTCACCTGAGGCTCCGGTGCCCACTGCAGGACAGAGAGTATATTGTGGACAGGGGTGAGGTGTGTTCAGACTCAGGGTGGGCCTTCCGGTCTGGGCAGGTCCACTTTTGTCTGGGGGGCAGGGCGGCGGGAGGGAGGTTTCAGGCAGAAGTGAGCAGGGCTGATGGGAGAGGTTGGGGGGGGGGGCAGAGCAGTGCCCAGACTCACCTGAGGCTCGGGTGCCCGCTGCAGGGCCGATATAAGTCCATTTTTTAAAATAGTTTTCTCATGGTATCTTTTTCCTTCCTGCCCATCTCTCTTTCCTGCTCTTCCTTCCTTTCAACAAATTCCTTCCTTCTTCCTTTTTTGTGAGACTGATCTTGAACTCCTGGGCTTAAGTGATCTCCCTAGCTTAGTTTCTCAAATGTCTCTGCAGAGTCTAGTGGGAGAGGGAGGGGTCGACACCTCTGCTCTCATTGGCTCAGGTGCTGAGAGTTAGCAAGGCTTTCTTTCCCCTACAGTTTATTCAGCTGGAATGGTAACAGTTTTTAGGACAACTGCCTTTCCCTCAGCTGTTTGTTGTTGTATACACTGCTGCCAGTTCCAAATTATATGGTACTGTAGCACTTGGTAGAAAACATAGGTAACCAAAAGTCTCCAAGAATTAAATACTGGTTCATCCCTTAGACTTTTCTTCAGCTTGAGTTTTCCGGGAATTGCCTTTGTCTTCTGCGGTCCAGGCTTTTTGGTTGCAATTAGAAAAAAAGAAGATGCTTGTATCATCTTGTTTAGAACTACCATCTCTTGTTGGATGTTAGTTTCTATATTTTTAAATACAGAATATTGATTAACTTTCTCTGTTTATTTTGTTTTTCAGACAAATGAAGAGAAAACAATGTCCGCCAACCTAAAATATCTTTCCTTGGGAATTTTGGTGTTTCAGACTACCAGTTTGGTTCTAACGATGCGTTATTCTAGGACTTTAAAAGAGGAGGGTCCTCGTTACCTATCTTCTACAGCAGTAGTTGTGGCTGAATTTTTTAAGATAATGGCCTGCATCTTTTTAGTCTACAAAGACAGTAGTAGGTATCTAGGGTATTTTTTGCTTTTAATTTTGATTAGCTTAATTTTTATATATGTAAATATATTTGTAAATGCATATTTAATCTCTTGCATTATTTCTCTAGACATTACTTAAATTCTCTAAACATTTCAGTATCAAAAAAAATATTAAAACAGAGCCCAGGAAGAGGGCTCTGCTGGTAAAATGCTTGTCATGCAAGTGTGAGGGCCTGAGTTTGAATCTTCAGCATCCACATAACCAGCTGGGTATGGCAGTGTGAGCTTGTCATTTTAGTACTGGGAGGCAGAAATAGGAAGACCCCAGGAGCCTGCTTGACAAGCTTGAGGTTCAATGAGAGACCTTGACTAAAATAAGGTAAAGAGCCACTGAGGAAGACAGCCAACACGAACACACACACACGCACACACACACACACACACACACACACAATTTAATTTGTACCAATTTTACTTGGTTGGCACTAAATCCATTCTGGTGGTTTTTGTTTGTTTTGTTTTTTATTTATTTGTTTGTTCATTTGTTTTTTAGATAAAGTTTCTCTGTAAAATAGCCCTGGCTGTTCTGGAACTTGTTCTGTAGACCAGCCTGGCCTTAAACTCTCAGAAATCCTCACAGATCTGCTTGTATCTGCCTCTTGAGTGCTGGAATTAAAGGTGTGTGCCACCACCTTGTGACACTAAAGCCATTGTATTCAGTCTGTAACATGATCCATACCCAGTTAATGCTATGCATATGAATCCAATTGCATTCATAGTTTATTAATTTGAGAAAAAGTAATTTCTCAAATTTTTTGTTCAAATTATAGAGTTCACAATAATTTTTTACTAAAGACTTTTTCTAGTTCTATTGACTAATGCAACAGTGAGTCATTCATTCAATACAGTTAATAAATAGTTTCACTGGAATATAAATTATGAATTGTACCTTTGTTCTTTGGTGGTCGAGATTGAGTGTTGGGCTTTGCATGTCCTAAGCATATGCTCAGCACTTGCTCTACCACCGGGGTATATTCCAGCCTCAATTTAGCTTTGACAGGCAGGTTTTTGGGGTATTCAATTGTGGTTTTTTTTTTAGACAGTGCCTTGTTATGTCATTCAAGCTGGCCTCAATGTATGAATTGCATTCATACACAATGCAAATGTGTATGTCCACATGTATGTGAAGTTTTGCCATTGTTGGCAACTATGTTGGAACCAACAGTGGTTAATGCTGCAATAGCTGTACAATGTATTTTTACATTCACAATGTTGTACGTCTATCACTATTTCCAAAACTGTCTCAATACACTGAGTAGAAAGTCTGTGACTGTTAAGGAGTAATTCCCCACTCACCTTTTCTACTTCTGAATTTACCTATTCTAGATATGTCATATGTAGGGAGACACTGTAGCCCCGCCTCCTAGTAGCCCCTACAGGTATGCCTGGCCACGCCCATGAGGGCGTGGTCAGAGGAGGTCAAAGATGATTCGGGAACAATTCTTAAGGGACCCAGCACGAGTGGATAGCCCCTTCTCTCTGGCCACGCTAGCTTGCGACCTCTGGGCACGCTCTGGCTTGTGTTTGGGCTGGTGTTTATGTGAATAAAGAAATCTTAGCCTTATGGACTACAGATCATCTTTGAGCGCACACATCACATAATACTCAACACTCATATAAGATGGATTATATGATGCTGTTCTCTTTTGTCTGGCTTAGTTCACTAGCATAATATTTTCAAAGCTTATCTTTCAGAACATTGTTTTTATACTATTTCATTGTATAATATACTACATTTTGTTTTCTTAGTCATATGTTGGTAGATGCTGGTTATTTATACCTTTTGGATACCATGAACCATGTCAGAACCAACTGTTAATGCTGCTATGGCTATACAAGTATCTGTTGGAATTTCTGCTTGCATTTTGGAGGATACATAACCTGCCTCCCCCAAAGCAGAATTGCTGGGTCATTGTCATCTGGTTGTTCTTCATTTATGTTTTAAAAGAAATGTACTACATGTATGCATGTGTTGGGTGTGTGTGTAACATGACATGTGTACGTAGGTCAAAGGACAACTTGTGAGAAGCTGTTTTGTTCTAATACCATGTGAGTCCCAAGGATTGAATGCAGGTCATTAGATTTGGTGGCAGGTGCCATTACTCACTGAGTCATCTTGCTAGGAATCTTTGTTTACTTTTTAAGGAATTATCAAACTTTTCCCACAGTATCTGTACCATTCTGTTTTATTTTACTAACTTTTTCATTACATTTTATTCATTGTGAGGGCACATGTATGAGTGTGTGCCATTGTGCAAGTGTGAGAGTCAGAGGACTTACACGTAAGTGTTACTTCTTTCCTTCTATCATGTGGATCCTGCAGCTTGAACTCAGGTTGTAGACTTGGCAGCAGCACTTTTACCCACCTACTGGATCATCTTGCTGGTTTCCATTTTATATTTTTTCTGGCAATGTATGAGCTTTCCATTTTTTCACCACTTCTTTTTCCTATCATGCTGTTTCTTATTCCTGTCTCTGTCTCTCTTGTGTGTGTGTTCAAGCCTACAGCTTCATGTATACCAGACAAATGGCTGTACTCTGAGTTGTGCTCCAGTCCCCGCCCACCCTTCATTATAGCCCTTCTAGTGGGTATGAAGACGTGTTCATTGTGCTTTTGACTTGCACATCTCTAGTTGTTAATAACAGTGAACATTTGACATGACTTGGCTAATAGATTATATCTGTGAAGGTAAGGAAAGAGGGCACATACAGTTTTAAGAATGATTTGTAGGTTTTTAGATTAAATTGCTGTGCATGTAAGTATGACAGAAAAAGATACAGAGAAGATAGATTTGGAGATTTTGGGTGCCTGCTAAGTTGGAGATACCTGCAAAGTACTTAAAGCCAAGGATGAGACTAGGTAATATGTACACTTAGAGAATAAGAAGTCTGAAAAACAGCCCTGGCTTGCTCCCAGGACTCAGAAGCTGGATTCAGAAGGTGTGATCAATAAAAGCAGACTATGCAGATGCTACCAGCAGGACAGAAAACCATGACAATGTAACAGGAAAGCAGGTTAGCTTTTGTTGCTAAGGTCTAGATATTACAAGTACCTACTGCATTAACACTGGAACCCATGAATAGTTGCATTGTGGCTAGATGTGCTGAAACCAGCTTTTAGTGAGCTGAAACATGATGTTCACAGCACATCAAGGTAAATCCCAGGGCTAGGGAAGTCGTTTAGTTCGTATTTCACAGCATAGTTGCTTAGCATTAGTAAAGTCTTAGTTTCATCTCCAGCATTGTGTAAAGCTGGGCCTGGTGGAACATGCCTGTAATACTACCTAGCACTTGGGAGTTGAGGAGGAAGATCAGAAGTTTGAGGTCATCCTTGGCTACATAACAACATAACAAGTTTGAAGCTATCTGGGCTCCTCTTGATCCTGTTGCAAAAGAACAAACCAGTTTCAGGGAGCAGAAATATTGACATTGAAATCAAAGCCAAGCTGAACAGGGTGGCACATGCCTATAGCCCTGCTACTTGGGAGTTTGGGGTGAAAGGATCATGAGTTTGAGGCCTGTCTGATATGCATCATAAGACTATTGGGGGTAAGAAGAAGAAAAAAATGAAGGAAGGAAAAGAGCCAGACATGGTGGCTCACATATATCATCCTAGTATTTTGGAGACCAAGGAAAGAGAATTGTAGGTCCAGGGCTACATAACAAGACCTGCTTCAATGAACCAAGCCAATGAACCAAGCCTAGATGCATTGTGACCTCGGAGCTGTGAATGATCTCAAACAACTATAAAGGCAAACTAAGACATAAGGAGAGTGTGGTTTAGGGGGGCAGGGATGCATTTTGAGAGACATATCTGAAAAAAGTGTATCAAACCAAGTGAGGAAACAGGCCCCACACATAACCAGCAACAAGTACCTAGAATTACAGAGACCTACAGCACAGTAAGAAAGAGACAGCAAGTTGTGAGAAAAGATCTAGAAGGGTAATTCTCAGAGGAGGAAACATACCTGGCTGGGCTGAGTGTGTGCAGGTTAATGGCAGATGAAGAATGACTGTAACAGGCCATTTTACTAGATCTTGACTTATGCTACAAGAGACAAGTTGAGCTAGTAGTAGTTCAGTTTCCTGTTGTTTATAGCAATCCCACTCCCTAGCTCATTTGCCTTCTTTTTATGATTAATGTCTTCACAATTATTAATTGACAGGATGGCTGAGGAATAAATAAAATTCAGAGTTTTAGAAAGTTACTACAATAAAAGAATACTTGTTTGATTAATAATTTGAGCTTTTGGTTATCAGAAATGCATTTGTATGTGTGCATGTGTACTTACATAGTCTTTTCCTTTGTTTTATCACACACACACACACACACACACACACAGCTTTTTATGTGTGTGTTTGTGTTCATCTGCATGTAATTGCATCACATATGTGCCTGGTGTCTGCAGAGGTCAGAAGATGGCACTGCATCTGGTTGTGAACCACAGTGTAGGTGCTGGGAATGGAATCCTGGTCCTCTGTGAGAGTAGCCAGTGCTCTTGACTGCTGAGCTGTCTCTCCAGCTCCTACATACTCAATCTTGTTATTTTCTAGAACAAAAGAGTTTAAAGATAATGATATCAATATGCTACTTTGTAATATTTAACATTTAAACAATCTGTATCAAGAAGTATGTTTTATACTGAAAAATATCCCAGTGTAGCACATTTTCCTGTTTTTTAGAGATTTAGCCATGTGTGGTGGTGCATGCCTTAATCCCAACATTAGGGAGGCAGTCTACATAGAGAAACCCTGTCTCAAACAACAAAAAAGGCTTTATTTTAAAATTTTAATTTTGAGAGAGAGAGAAGGAGGGAGGGAGGGAGAGAGAGAGAGAGAGAGAGAGAGAGAGAGAGAGAGAGAGTTTGTGTATTGAGAGTTTGTCTTTGTACCTAAGTGCAGGTGCTCCTGAAGGTCAGAAGTGTCAGATCCACTTGAAGTTGGAGTTACAGGTGTCTTTGAGCCACCCAGTCTGGGGACTGGGAATCAAACTCTGGTCCTCTACAAGAGCAATACTTTCTCCTAATTTCTGAGCTATCTCTCCCGTCCCCACTGTTGTATTTTAAAGTGAGAAAACTGAGGCCTATAGAGAAGGAGCTTGTGACTTCTTTGAAGATACTTTGACTGATTTTCCCCCAATTTGTTTATTCTAGAGTGTAGTGTGAGAACACTGAACCGAGTACTGCATGATGAAATTCTTAATAAGCCCATGGAAACACTTAAGCTTGCTATTCCATCAGGGATATATACACTTCAGAATAATTTACTCTATGTGGCACTGTCCAACCTAGATGCAGCTACTTATCAGGTACCTAAGTATATTTCTAATCGCCCTTTTACAAAACAAACAAAAAAATTCAAACATTAATAATACTGCTGTTTTCTTTTTTTAGGTTACATATCAGTTGAAAATACTTACCACAGCGTTATTTTCTGTGTCTATGCTTGGTAAAAAATTAGGTGTGTACCAGTGGCTCTCCCTAGTAATTCTGATGGCAGGAGTTGCTTTTGTGCAGGTAACTATTCAGGATAAGTATGCCTTTCATTTCTGTTACAGTTTGAAAACCTGACTTATTTTGCATGGAGAATATGGTTCCATTACTTGTTCAAGCAAGTAAATGCTGACAGATAGTTTTTTATGGCTCCCTGTCAGCAAATATCATATTGAGAGTATGTGATATAAATAAGTAAACACATGAATGAAATTTTCATAGTAAAGAACTGAACAGTTGGGTTGTGGCATAGCTTGCTGGCAGGGGGCTTGCTTTGGTCCTCAGTACCACACACACACACACAGTTATGTTTTGTAGCCGTGGCTGGCCTGGGTCTTCCTTTGCAGATGAGTCTGTCTTCAAACTCTGGTAACTCTCCTGACTGCCTTCTGAGTGCTGAGATTACAGACATGGCATGTGCCACCATGCCTGACTTTTCTTTTTTAAATTTATTTGTATGTGTCTGTCTGTGAGTGTATGCATATATGTGTAGAGGCAAGACGAGAGGGCATTGGGTGTCCTCTATCATTCTCTGCCAGTTCTCTTAAGACAGAGCCTCTCCCTGAACCTTTTCATGGGTAGGGGAAGCCAGCAAGCCCCAGTGAGCTTCCTATTTCTGCCTTCTTCTGAGCGGACCTTACAAGTATGTACAGGACACACAACCTGTTAAGTGAGTTTTCAGACCCAAGTTGTGGTCCTTGTTATTGCACAGCACATGCCCTTAACTGCTGAGCTAATTCTAAAGATATATATATCTCCATCTTTAAATTTTTTAAAAACTTTTTATGTATGTTTGTAAGTCTGCATGAGTTTATACTACGTAATGCAGGAGCCCATGGAAACCAGAACATGTCGGATCCCCTGGAACTGGAGTTACAAATAGTTGTGAGCTGAAATGTGGGTGCCAGGAACAAAGCCCAGATCCTTTGCAAGAGCAACAGCTGTTGCTTAAACAGCTGTTCTATCTCTCCAGCCCATGTGAGAAGGTTTCACTATGTAGCCTTGAACTCACCATCATCTGCTTCAGCCTTGAGATATTGGGATTGTAGGTGTGAACCAGAATGCAAGAGAGAGAGAAAAAGGAAAGAACAGTCTAAGAAATTAAGACATGGCACAATGAAACTTATCTCAAAACCAAACCAAACCAAACCAAAAGACAGCATATAAAAGAAAGAAGCTAAAGTTTTATGAGAACAGTGGAACCTCTGAGATGATTTGTGCACCTCTGATCCCTTTAACAACTACTGTCTTTATTGATACTGTTGTTTCTAACTCTCACAGCTTTCTTTTTTTTTTTTTTAGAAAGAAAATTATTTTACATGTCAATCCCGGTCCCCTCTCCCCCCCCCCCCCCCCTGCCACTCCCACCCCAACTAAAACCCTACCTATCCCATACTCTTTCTGCTCCCCAGGCAGGGTGAGGCCTTCCATGGGGGGGGGCCTTTAATGTGTATCATATTCTTTGGGATAGGGCCTAGGCCAGCCCCCTTGTGTCTAGGCTCAGGGAGTATCCCTCCATTTGGGATGGGCTCCCGAAGTCCATTCCTATGCTAGGGATAAATACTGATCCCTACTACGAGAGGCCCCATAGATTTCCAAGGTCTCCTCACTGACACCTACATTCAGGGGGTCTGGATCAGTTCCATGCTTGTTTCCCAGCTATTAGTCTGGGAACCAAGAGCTCCCCCTTGTTCAGGTCAGCTGTTTCCCTGATTTTCACCAGCCTGGTATGGACCCTTTGCTCATCTCTCAGAGCTTCTAATGATTGCTTATTCTTATTCTTCATGGAGTCATTGTCCCCAGCTTTTACGTTCCTTTTTTATTGTGTGTGTGTGTGTGTGTGTGTGTGTGTGTGTGTCTGTGTGTAAGATAGCAGCTACACTAATAGTAGAGACCTAGAATGTTTCTATCCTCACAGAAGGCATACTGGGTAGATACACGGGAGAGGGCAAGGGAGAAAGAGGACAGTTTTTAACAGTCAAGGAATTAGTCCTCACTATCCTGTTGATGCAGTGAAGGCAAACTGAGTAGGAAGTGAATCTTTCATTGTTAAAGATGTTTAAGGGGACTGGAGAGATGACTCAGCAGTTAAGAATATTGACTGCTCTTCCACAGGACCCAGGTTCAGTTCCCAGCATCCACATGGTGGCTCACAAATGTCTGTGACTGTAGTTCCAGGGGTGTAGTTCCAACACCCTTACACAGGTATACACACAGGCAAAAACACCAATGCACATAAAAGTGAAAATAAATAAATAATTTTTTGAAACAGTGTTTAAACTTGTGTGGTGGCACATACTTATAATCCCCTCACTTGGAAGGCTGAGGCAGGAGGATTGCTGTGAGTTAAAGCTATCCAGGACCATGATAACATATTCCCGTACTCCCACCACCAAAAACCTATTTAACATTGAAAAGTTTCTGGTAACTATGAAAAGTATTATTTTAACACTACAGGACATAAAGAGAGATAAATTCAGATGTAACAAGTAGATAGATGACTTCAACACCTAACTGTCAGCAATAGGTAGATAATTAACAAAAGTAATCAATAGACTTGAATTAAACCATATAGTAGAGCAAACATACTTTTCTGGTAGATACAGAATGTTCTATCTAAAGGTAAAGAATACAGATTCTTAGATGTGGAATTTTCTCCAAAATCGATCACGTTTTAGGTCAAAAGACAAATGTGAAAGACAGAGAATAAATTAAATAAAACCTCCTTCCATCGCCTCCCCCATAAAAAAACAAACCTGTGGGAAAAATAATATGTGGGTAATATAACTGAGGAATATTTCAGCTACTTCTATATAGAACCACAAAAGACCATGCATAGCCAAATCAGTCCTAAGTAAAAATAGCAATACTAGTCATGCATGGTTGTTCATGCTTATAATCTTAGCATGACAGGAGGATTGCCATGAGTTTGAAGCCATCTTGGGCTACCTCGTGAATTCTAGGCTGGTATAGGATACAGTGTGAGATCGTGCCTCCACCTGCCCTCTACCCCATCCACAAAGCAATGCTGGAGGTATCACAGTACCTGATTTCAAATTATGCTTTAGAGCAGTGACAATAAAAATAGCATGGTACTGGCACAAAAACAGACTTGTAGGCCAATGGATGAAAAGAGAGGTGTCAGAAATAAACCCATGCTGCCACAGGTACTTGAGTTTTGACAGAGGTTATAAAGCATACATTGGAGAACAGAGCCTCTTCAACAAATGGTGCTCAGAAGCTATACATATACATCCACAGTGCAAGACTAAGACTAGCCCACTCTGTCTCACCCAGTGCAGAGCTCCATTCCAAATGGATTGAAGACTTTAACCTAAGCCCTTGGAGACTAAAAGGGAACAGAGATAATGAATGGATGGAGTTTTTGATAGATCCCAATACCAGGAAACAGTAGCAAGAATTGACAATATGATTGCATGAAATGTAAAAGCTGCTTGACAAAGAAAACAACAGATGGAAGAGACTCCTTTGGAGGAGGAATGGGTGTTTACTAGTTCTTCATCAGTCTGGATTAATATCCACTTATATAAAGAATTCAATAACCAACCAACCAAAAGTCCCAAGCCTATCAATAATCAGGCAAGTGAACACAGCAGATAGCTCTTAAAAGAAATACAAGTAGCTAGTGAATGTACCTAAAATGCTCATCATCTGTTTTGTTTTGAGGCAGGATTTCTCTGTTGTAGCCTTGACTATCCTGGAATCACTTTGTAGACCAGGCTGGTCTTTGCCTCCTGAGTGCTGGGATTAAAGGCGTGAACCACCGCCACCACCACCCAGCTATGTTCAGCATCTTTAGTTGTTAGGGAAATGTAAATCAAAACTATTTCGATATTACATTTCACCCTAATCAGAATGGCTGTTGGTGGGGATGATAGGGAAATCAATCTTTGTACACCTCTGGTTAGAATATAATTGAGAGCAGCCAGTTGGAAAATAGTATGGAGATTCCTCCATGGGAAGATATTCATTTTACCTCTGTGTGTGTGTGTGTGTGTGTGTGTGTGTGTGTGTGTGTGTGTGTGTGTGTGTGTGTGTGTGGAGAGGGAGGGGGGGTCTCATGAGTATCACAGCACATGTAGAGGTCAAAGAACAGCTTGGTGGAGTCAGTTCTCCTTCCACCTTTATGTTTATGTGCGGTACAGAGATTGAACTCTGGTTGTCAGACTTGCATAGTGAGCACTTTCTCCACCGAACCGTCTCAGTTACTAAAAATAATACCATATGATCTAGCTATACCATTTCAAAGTAGACTCTTGAACACATTACTGAGATACTAATTTTTTTTTTGGCAGGATTGTTCACAATAGTTATGGAATCAGGCTAAGTAGTGGTGGCATACACCTTTAATACCAGCACTCAGGAGACAGAGGAAGGGAGCTCTCTGGTCTGTGGAGTCTACAAGAGCTAGTTCCAGGCCAGCCTCCAAAGCCACAGAGAAACCCTGTCTCGAAACCACCCCCTCCCCCCAAAATAGTTATGGAATTAGCCTAGATGCCCATCACTGTGTGTATGGATAATATAAATGTGGTGTATATATACACAATGGAATTTTATTTATCCATAAAAAAGGAAATTATACAAAATGTAGAACTGGAGGTCATTGTGTTAAACAAATTAGAATAGACTCAAACAAATAATATTTTTTTGAATTTGAAAAATCTAGATTAGGGGCTATGTCTGGTGGTGTACATCTTTAACCCCAGTACTAGGGAGGCAGTGGCAGGTGGATCCCTGAGTTTGAGGCCAGCATGGTCTACAGAGTGAGTTCCAGGACACTCAGGGATACATAGAGAAACCCAGTCATGGAGAGAGAGAGACAGAAAACTCTAAATTAAATATGAAAATAAAAAGGACCCACAGACAATGTGTAACAATAGTTCAAAGGTGTCAGTTGATACACCGTGGTCAGTAATGTACAAATCATATGAGTGCCATGTCTGGTACAGTAACTTTACAGTCTTTTATTTTCTGTTTTTTTAGATTTATTTATTATGTATATAATATTCTATCGGCATGCCAGAAGAGGACACCAGATCTCATTATAGATGGTTGTGAGCCACCATGTGGTTGCTGGGAATTGAACTCTGGACCTCTGGAAGAGCAGCCTATGCTTGTAACCTTTGAGCCATCTCTCCAGCCCCCAGTCTTTCATTTTCCTTGTAGTGTTTGTGGTTCCTGTCCCACTAGCTTGTCTTTTTACTATGGTTGTTTTAGCTTTTCTTCTTACATCTGTGTGTGCTTTTGCTGGAGCAGCACAGTGGTGCACTTGTGGAGGTCAGCAGACAGCTTGTGAGAGTTGCTTCTCTCCATCTACCATGATCCCAAGGATCAGACTCAGGTTGTCAGTCTTGGCTGCAAGTGTCCTACCCACTGAGCCATGTCAATGCCCTCTTCAGTGTTGTTTTTATTTTTATTCAGTGGCCTTCAGATTCTCAAGAACTGCACTCCAAAGAACTTTCAACTGGCTCACAGTTTGTAGGCCTCATGGCAGTTCTCACAGCTTGTTTTTCGAGTGGCTTTGCTGGAGTTTATTTTGAAAAAATCTTAAAAGAAACAAAACAATCAGTATGGATAAGAAACATTCAACTTGGTAAGTTTTAAAGGCTTTCTTATGTTTTTTTAATTAATGTTTTTTCTTATTTATTTTACATACCTACCAGTTTTTCTTCTTCTTCCCCTCCTGCTCACTTCCCCCACATCCCATCTTACCACCTCCCCCCATCCACTTCTTGTCTTCATTAAGAAAGGGGCAGGACTCCCATGGGCATTAATAAAGCGTGGCACACTAAGTTGAAGCAGGACCAAGCTCCTCCCATGCATCAAGGATGGATGAAGCAACCCAGAATTGGGAATAGGTTCCCAAAAGCCAGTTCAATTTCGAGGGACAGGTCCTCATCCCACTGCTGGGAGCCTGGCAAACAGACCAAGCTATACAACTGTCATACACATGTAGAGGGCCTAGGTTGGTCCCATACAGGCTCCCTGACTGTTCGTTCAGAGTCCATCATCTCCCATGAGCTCAGGTCAGCTGTCTTCATGGGTTCCCCAGTCATGATCTTGATCCCCTGGCTCATACAATCCCTCCTCGCTCACTTCAACAGGACGTCTGGAGCTCAGCCCAATGCTTGGCTGTGGATCTCTGCATCTGCTTCCATCAGTTATTGGATGAAGGCTCTCTGATAATAATTAGGGTAGTCACCAATCTGATTACAGAAGAAGGCCAGTTCAGGCGCCCTCTCCATTATTGCTGGGAGTCTTAGCATGGTCCTCTATGTGGATTCCTGGGAGTTTCCTTGGCACCAGGTTTCTCCCTAACCTGGAAATGCACCCCTCCTTCAAGAAATCTCTTTAATTACTCTCCCTGCTTTGTCCGGGGAGAGTAACTTGGGGGTTGCTTTGTCCCAACCCCCAACCCAGTCCCTCATGTTCATGTACACCCCCAACCCTACCCTTGCCCCCAGTTTACCCAGGAGATAACTTCTTCTAACAATAATTTCCCATTTTTTTTCTTTGGTTTTTCAAGACAGGGTTTCTCCATGTGGCACTGGCTGTCCTGGAACTTGCTCTGTAGATCACAGAGATCAACCTGCCTCTGCTTCCTGAGTTCTGGGATTACAGGCATGTGCCACCACCACCTGGCTGAGTGAAATATTTTTTTGTTTGTTTGTTTTGTTTTGTTGTTTTTCGAGACAGGGTTTCTCTTGGATTTTGGAGGCTGTCCTGGAACTAGCTCTTGTAGACTAGGCTGGGCTCACACTCACAGAGATCCACCTGCCTCTGCCTCCCGAGTGCTGGGATTAAAGGCGTGCGACACCAACGCCCGGCATAAATAATTTTTGTTTGTTTTTCGAGACAGGGTTCTCACTCCAGAGACCAGGCTGGTCTCGAACTCACAGAGATCCACCTAGCCTCTACCTCCCAATTGCTGGGATTAAAGGCGTGCACCACCACCGCCCAGCACTGAATGAAATATTTTTAAAGTATTCAAATTTCATCAAAAAGAAATTGTTAAGTTGTGCAGGCCCCTAGCCACAGTACTGGGAGACTGAGGCAAGAAAAGCAAGAGTTCCAGCCCAGTTCATGCTACGTGCTAAGTTGCAGGACAGCCTCCAGTGCAAACCAGGACCCTGCCAATTGGAACAGGGGGAGGAGACTGGGTTGTCAACAACAACAACAAAAAATCATTTCTCAGGAAAACTGCCATATAACCTATGTTTTACTTTCTTTTAGGTTTCTTTGGGAGTATATTTGGATTAATGGGTGTATATGTTTATGATGGAGAATTGGTATCAAAGAATGGATTTTTTCAGGGATATAATCAACTGACGTGGATAGTTGTTGTTCTGCAGGTAAAGAATATTGCTTCAGTGCAGAGAGTTAAAGTGGCTACTGGTGTGCTGGTATTTAAGGGGTAGGGTCCTTCCTATTTTCATAATACCTACTTTATTCAGGGAAGTTACAATACAGCTGTTCTTAATGCCCAATGAAAACTGACTTTGAAAGGGGTCATGAATAAAACTCCATGGTTTTATTGCCATGAAATAATTGCCATTATTTCAATGCCATGAAAATGCAAGTGTTTAATTATTGTTGTTGTTGTTACTTCTAGATTTATTTACTTTTATGTATATTAGTGTTTTGTCTGCATGTATGTATGTTCACCAAATATGTGCTTGGTGCCCATGTTTGTTAGAAGAGGGGTCATATCCCCTGGAACTAGAGTTACAAATGGTTCTGTGCCACTAAAGTGAATGCTGGTAACCAAACTCAGGTCCTATGGAAGAGCAGCCACTGCTCTTAATCGATGAATCATCTTTTAAGTTCCATGAAAATGTAAGTTTAAGAATTAAGTAGTTACATGACATAGTGACATGCACCATTAATCCCAGCACTCTGGAGGCAGAGGCAAATGGATCTCTGTGAGTTCAAGGCCAGCCTGATCTACAGAACAAACTCCAGGACAGCCAAGATTACATAGATACCCTGTCTCAAAAAAAAAAAAAAAAAATTAGTCAAAACTAATTAAAGGCGAAAGCTTTTAATCATAGCACTCAGGAGGTAGAGGCAGGCGGATCTCTGTGAGTTCGAGACCAGCCTGGTCTACAAGAGCTAGTTCTAGGACAGCCTCCAAGCCACAGAGAAACCCTGTTTCAACCCCCCCCCCAAAAAAAAACTAAGAGTAAATATAACTTTCAATTTTTCTGCTACAATTATCATTGTATAGAAAAGTCATGGTCAGCCCTTTAAAGATGGAAGGAGCCAATGGAGATAATTATACAAGTTTTTAAACTTTGTTTCATATTTAAATGTTAGAACATTTCTGTCAAATTTCTTCAAGTGTGAATATGGTTTTAATTGTTTAAGAGTTGAATAATTTCGGCCTGGCGGTGGTGTTGCACGCCTTTAGTTATAGTATTCGGGAGGCAGAGGCAGGCAGATGTCTGAGTTCCAGACCAGCCTGGTCTACGAGAGCTAGTTCTGGGACAGCCTCCAAAGCCACAGAGAAACCATACCTCGAAAAACAAAACAAAACAAAACAGAGTTGAATAATTTCATCTCCAAAAGTATGTCTTGACATTTTGGAAAATATAAAAATGAAGGAAGAAGTGATTTTCTTCAGTGCCTACTTTCTTAGAGATATTTGAAGTCCATAGGACCTAGAAAGTAAGGAAGTGTCAAGGGAAAGTGGTACTTCAAAGGTAGGAAGCAGGGTGAGGGTGGTGGCACACGCCTTTAATCCCAGCACTTGGGAAGGCAGAGGCAGGCAGTTGGATCTCTGTGAGTTCAAGATCAGCCTGGTCTTGAATTCTAGGATAGCCAGGGCTGCACAGAGAAACCTGGTCTCCAAAAAAAAAAAAAAAAGTAGGAAGGGTATTTCCATTTTTATAAAAGGAGGAAAGAACACTGATGAGAATTTTGGAGAAAATTTTTAAAGTGAAGGTGTGGTAAACACAGAGAATTTATGTGATATATTTTATCTAGTTATCAGGAAGCCATCCTTTAAGAGAGAGCTAAAAGATAAAATTCTTTTTTTAATTTAAAAAAATTATATTTAGTTTTGGTTTTTGAGACAAGGTCTCTCTACATAGCTCTGGCTGGAACTCACTCTGAGACCAGGGTAACCTCAAAGTCAGAGATCTGACTGCCTCTGCCTCCTGAGTGCTGGGATTAAAGGTCTGCACCACCACCTCCTTTCCAAGAGCAATGTTAAAGCAACATTAAAAAAAAAAAAGTTGATATAACTCGTATAAAGGATCCAACAGGTAATAAATAGATGAATAACAAACAGTATTTCCCCAAGATATGGATTCAAACATAATTTATAGCAAGCCCAGTGGGCATAACTCATGTCTTTTATAAATTAGATTTCCATCATCAAAGAAAGGCAGTTAGAGTGGGTCCCCTGATTTGGAAACAGATATACAGGGTCTGGTAGAAGACAAACCCAGGCCAGACAAATTGTCTATTATCTGAGAAATGTTTTGTTTTAATTAAGGGTGGGAGATTTGGGACTTTTGCATATACATAATGAGATACCTTGTGACTGACTCAAATCTAAACAAAATTTTGCTTTCTGTATGTATATACATACACATAGCTTGGAAGTAATATTAATACAGTTTAGAGTACACCTGCATTGTATGACTGACTCATCACATGAGGCAGGTGTAGACTTTACATCTATGTGTGCTTAATGGCACTGCTCAAAGAAGTGCTGGGTTTTGGAACATTTTGGATTTTCTCAGGATTTTGGATTTTTGTATAGCAAAGTCCAATGTGTGTGAGTGTGTGTGTGTGTGTGTGTGTGTGTGTGTGTGTTACTTGATTGAAACCAGTGCCCTCACACCTACTAGGCAAGTACTTTACTACTGAGCTACCCATCACTCATTAAGTTTGGTTTTTAGATTTTTTTACTTATTTAATTATATGTGTACATGTGTGTGCCTATGTGTATATATGTACACCGTGTACATACAATGTCTGCAGAGGTCAGATGAGGCATCAGAACTCCTGGAACTGAAGTTACAGATGGTTGTGAGCTGTTTGACATGGGTGCTGGGATCTAAACCCAGGACGTCTATAAGAGCAGCAAGCACCCTTAATGACTCAACCATCTGTCCAGCTTCCCACATTTCACATTTGTAAGTAGCCACTATCTAGAATTTGAGAATGATTTGGTAGAAGGTTCTTTATATGCTGTGGAGATAGCTCAGTGGTAGAGAACTTACCTACCATGGGATAGGTTTGGTGTTTAGTCTACAGTACTACAAAAAAACAAGCCAAACCATGCACCGACAGCAAGAAGAGGTAGATTAGAATGGAGAGAAAATTAAAGAAGACAATGGGAGAAGACTGCTGGAAAGGTAGTAAAAAAAAGTGTTTTTTATTCAAACTTAAACCCTGTATGCATTCGTCCTTAAGCTGTCCAAACACATGTTTATTTATTGAATTTGGTGAAAATAGATTTTTTGTAATGTGATCAAATTTTATTACATCAAACTGTAGATTGCGTTGATGGTTACATTGAGGGCTATAAGACAAAACTGCAAATGTGCTATTTTCTGTTCATATGAATCATTCGCTAGGATATAGTTACATTTGTAGAACAGAAGCCTTAAAGCTTCTCTGAGAAATAAAATCGTTTGGAAAAGCATTCTTATGTTCATTTAAAAAACACTCTCTTACAACTTTTACAGGCGCTTGGAGGCCTTGTAATAGCTGCTGTCATTAAGTATGCAGACAATATTTTAAAAGGATTTGCCACCTCTTTATCCATAATATTGTCAACAGTTATATCCTATTTTTGGTTGCAAGATTTTGTGCCAACCAGGTAAATATTCCTTTCTATTTTTTTTTTCTTTCCATTCTTACTTTTTCCTGTATGTATTAGTTTGTTATTGGTATTAACATGATTCCATTTAGGTTTGCTTATTCATTTCCAAAAGTTTATTAAATGGCCATTCTGTTCCAGCAATCACTCTTGGAGTCTGGAAAAAAAGAAACATATCAATGAGATGGTTATATTCAAGAAAGTCACAGTGACTAGAAAACCAGACACAAGAGAAATTATGAGTATCAATGAAAGTATATATCAGCTCATTAAAGAGGGGACTCAAATCATTGAAATGCTAGGTTTTCTGTTTGTAATCAACGAAAAGTACATAACTGAGCAGAGTAACAAATATGTAAATAATGTATTAATTAATCACAATGTGATAAACACTCTTGGGGAGTGAGTGAGACTTGGACAGTAAACCTGAATCAATAAACTCTTGTTGAGAGAAAGGGAATTGTGGTTGAGGACTAGTGTCTACCATGACAACATCATGCAAAAGTACATGGAGTCAAGGGGTCAGATTTATGGAATGGATGGGAAGAGTGTGGAGGATGATGTTGGATGGACCACACTGACACATGTCTGTAGCTCCAATGGGCCCTTTGAGATCAGCTTGCCTACACAGTGAAACCCTGTAACAAATAAAGCAAAGCTGAGCCTCTGTTTCTATAAAGGGGTAAAGACAGGTGATTCCTGTTCTTTTTTTTTAGGTTGAGGGTAATGACTTCAAACCATTAATAGAAACCTTAAAGCCAAGACTAATCCATGCCTCTGGCAGCATTTAAAGAAATGTGTATTAACAAATGACGATTGCTAGTCTGGATTATGTCCTGTTTCTGTGAAGTAGATTGTATCTCTACATATATCAGACCAAGAGGAAACCATGTGATCTAATGCCCTTCCGTTAAACATTCTGTAAATATTGGGCCTGAGCTTTGGTTATTATTACCTTGGATTTTGGACAGAATTCACCTAAGTTTAGCATAAAAGGATGAACTTTTCCTTTTCCATTTTCCATTTTTTAAAGCTTCAGGTGTTTTATTACTGACAAATCCCATTCAGAATGCACATTTAGGTGAGGGTACTGCACTGGAGACAGTGCAGTAGATGACCGTGCAAGCTCAAAGCCAGTGACTGAATCCAACCTCCTACTTATTTGGGACTTTTGGGCAAGTTTTTTACATCCTTAAACCCTTTCCCCAAAGGTAAAAGCATTTAGCCAAGCACCTGGAACATAGAACATACTCAACATTTATTAGTTACTGGAATATTTCTTTTGCAAACTGCAATTGTAATATATTGAAAGAACTTAATTACTTTTAATCTGACTTTTTCTTTTCTTTTTTTTTTTCCTTCATCCTATTTAGCGTCTTTTTCCTTGGAGCCATCCTTGTAATAGCAGCTACTTTCTTATATGGTTATGATCCCAAACCTGCAGGAAATCCCATTAAAGCATAGTCATGTACTATCTTTAGCTGGTTTTTCACGATGGTGCCCTAGGAATCTCAACATTAATCTTGCACAGAGGACTTCTGCAGATTCTGTGAAGATACCATCATGCTAAATCTGATCATATTGTTCAAATGATTTGAAAATGTATAGGCTTCACCATGAAATGTGTATATCATCTGGAAACTCAAGCTTGGAAGTGTGTTCAGGGAGTAGTGTTAGAGGGATACGGGTAGGAGGCCTGAAATCTGAGCTCATAACAGGTTCACCGTTTTGGTTGCTGCAGAACAGTCCAGTGCAGCCTTTGTGAGAGCACACAAATGCAAATACCAATGTTTGCAAGGCAGATCTACTTACTCTTATCACATGTTCTTAATCTTACTCTTTCTGTACAGATATATCAAATTATGTGGACTATTTGAAGTTGGAAGATTATAATTGCCTATAAAGCTGTGAACAAACAAATATAATATAAAACCATTTTCATGTATCTGGGATTTTTATATTCATACAGAAAATTGCTAAGCAAAAGATTGCTAAATGTTATTTGTTCAGTTACATAAAACTTGATGAAGTAGTCTGGGTTTGATTCATATTTAAATTTAGTGTAAAGAGAATCTATTTCTCCATGTACAGCTTTAGACCACTTACCACTTTGAGACAGCTGAATGCAGTTAGATTCTTCATATACTAGAGTAGCCAGTGACTTTGACACTAATGAAGTTTACCCATCATTTTCCAGTTGTATTTCTTTTTCATATATAAGAGAAATTCTTATTATTACCTTAAATTGAATTTGTGTGTGTTGCCATTAAAACTTTTTAATGAATTTAAAGGGATTAAGTACTCATTTAATAATTGAAAACAAAATGATTACTGTCCAGTCTCCATGGGGAGAAATCTGAACTATGAAGCATATACTGTATATAGTTTTGAAATGAAGAATTTTGTTATTTTGCAGTAGGAATTTTTTACTCTGCAACTGTTGACAGAAGCAACAATCAAAGCAAAACAACAACAACAAAAAAAAAAACAGTACTAGTCACATCAGTGGACCAAGAACAAGCTGACTTTCTTATAGACATCCTACTGTCTTATCATTACTTTCTCTTTTTTATTTGAATTAGAAACAAGATTGTTTTACATGACAATCCCAGTACCCTTCTCCCTCCTGACCTCCCCTACCACCCCTCCCCCCAACTAAAACCCTACCTATCACATATCCTTTCTGCTCCCCCTGGATGGTGAGGCCTTCCATAGGGTGTCATCAGAGTCTATGGTATCCTTTGCATTACTTTCTTTTTTAAGGAGAGGTTTCGTTATTTAGACCAGGCTGGCCATGAACTTACAGAGATCTACCAGCCTCTGCCTCCTGAGTGCTGGGATTAAGGGTATGGGTCTCTCTGCCCAGCTCACTACATTATTTTAAGTAGTACTGTAATTTAAGCTCAGAGGCTGTGTAGAAGTTTTTAGGTCTTAAAAGCCCATTTCCCTAGCAATACTCTGATCATATATCTGTAAGAGGTGGTGGCATTCTGAGTTCCCTTTCTATGTCCCCGTGAGTGTCGCTGGGAAGGAGCAGCCATTTGCTTTAAAATAGTAGATTTTGTTTCTTATAACACTGACGTTGAGAATACAAACTATAAGTTATTTAATAAACTGATTCAAAAGAGAGAATATATTAGAAAAATGGGAGGCAAAAATGCACCTATATTTGGAATATAATTTATTTAATTATTGACTATATGCAGAATTACCTATTGAATATAAGATGTATTTTACTTTATTTTTTCATTTATATTGTATATATTTTAAAAGTTTGTTGTAATAGATACAAACCTATAAAAAGATGACTATTTTTTAGGTAGTTCTAATAGATTTTGTTAAATGGAGTTGACTCAAAAGTACTACTGTTAAGAACTGCAAGGTAGGTACCCTTGGCTAACTTGGACTGTTATGATCTTGTTAGTGCGCATGTACTCTCAATAGTGTACATGCCTAACCAAGTCCATTCAATTTCAAAGTACTTAAAATTTCAGAGTGTTTTTAAAGCTATTGCACCATCGATGACAGAGTGATACCAGGTTTTCTGAATGCCAGGCTTATGGTTTTCAGTGATTGAATAACTTTTGGAGATTGAATAACTCCATTTGGAGCATGGTGTTAGGCCACCACAGCATTCAAGCTATGGCCTAGGACCTACAACTAAGTGCAACCTAGATCTTGCAAATATACAAAATTCATGAATACAGATTGATATTTGGCTCACAAAAGTATTGTGTGTGTAACTGTGCTAATACCATGTGGATTCACAGTTAATGGTTACTTAGATCTACCGACCCCTGTCTTAACCCCACAGAAATATATACAAATAAGTTATTGGGTATTAAGGTTGTTAAATTAATAGCACATTTCAGGTGTCTGAAAATCTTTTATTAGGTGTCATTTATATTTTTCTTTTCTAGTCAGTTAAAAATGTTACTGGGCTGAATGTATAGTTTAGAAATTTATAAGGAAAAAAATCACATTTGGGGGAAAAATGGGCTTGTAGCCTAGATTGTGTCATATGTATTGATACTGAAATTTTGTGTAATGTGCTTTGTGTTTTGATGATGTTCAATGTTGTGATTTTGTCATGCTTTTATAATAACGCTTGGATTATTTAAATTTGATGCTTTTAAAAGTGTGCTTGTTATGTCTCAGCTATTTTAACTAATATGGAATGTGTCAATTCATGGAGAAAGAATACCAGCGAGAGCTGCATTAAAGTTAGGCACAGAACATTGGCAGAGAGCTTGACGCACCAGCAAGCCCTGGTGCAGCATAGCAGCTTTGTACTGAATGCTTTTCAAGCCGGAAGTTACTTTAATAATATAATAGTAGTTTAAAATGAATAACTTAAATGTTTACATCAGTTTCTACAGAATGTCACAGAATTTCATATAAAGAAAAGGCAGTTGGGTATTTAAGCCAGAGTCTATTAGGAAATTCCAAAAAGGAAATTAATTGACATTCTACTCTGAACACTTAAGTAGAATGCTTGCTATTCTTACAAATCAAGTTAGTAGACTTTAAATGTCAATACATAATCATTTGAATGAGGTCTTCTCTTTTCTTTTTTGAGGCAGGGTCTTACTCCGTAGCTCTGGCTGGCCTGGAACTTGCTATGTAGCCCAGGCTGGCCAACAAATCACAAAGATCTGCCTGCCTCTGCCTTCCAAGTGTTGGGATTTAAGGTGTGTGCTACCATTCCCTTTGAGTTTTGTTTTGTTTTGTTTTGTTTTTAAAGAAAGGATTTGGCATCACTCATTCTATTTAAACATTCATTGTAAAAATATTTGACTTCTATAGTTGTATCTTTACATTGAATTTGTAAAAAATATGTTGTATTAAAAGTCATCTCAAGAATCTCCAAGATATTTAAAGTAGTTATAGGGCCAAAGAAAATGCACCTTTACCACAATCTGGTCCTATGTGCCTTGCTTTACCAAATAAATACCTGACTTTTATGGAGAATATTTCTGTAATTTACAACTTTAAACACATACTTGAAATTGGGATTTTTAAAAAAAAAATAACAGAGTAACTATAATTGTAGCTTTTGGTTGTTTCAACATTTGCTCTTTAAATCCACAATCTAGCAAACTGATACTGAGTATCCTATCAAAGTATCTGTGAATAGCACTTTTTAAGTGACTTGTGATACCTACACCTTGATTCAGGTTTGAGACTTTAACAACTGTATATAAATGTCCGTCTGTTGTTTCTTTTCTTGTAAGACATAATTTGCTGTGATTTAAAACAATATTTTAAAAATGATTTTGACCCTAAATTGATCTATGTCTGTACATCATTTACGTAAAGTGATTCTTTGGGGTTTGGGAATGTGATTTGTATTTTTAAATTTTTACAAATATATTTCAAAGGAATATATAAACTGGTCTTTTATTAAGTGGCTTTTTAAATGATAAATTCCTCATGTCGTTTTTTTTTTCAGAATCCATTATTACCTACATTTAATAGATAAGGGAAAGATTATTTTTATAAATGACTATATTTTCCTATATTTCTGCTTTCCCCTTTTTTACCTATGTCTGATTTAATCTATGGATTAGTTATTATTTTTATATTTCAGGAATGACTTGCTCATCTTCATCCCTTGATAACTTGGTATCACATGTAATTCTTCTTCCTTTTCTTTGTTTTACCAGACTGGTTAGAATTTCTCTGCCTATATAATGATCACAACCCGAGGGATTTTGTTTGAAATAAAATACTTCTTTGCTGCCGGCCAGGTTCAGTAGTTACTCAGGACCTTCCCTTCACTGCCTGAGTGTGATGGCTTCTGTTGTGGCATCCATATTTATCCCTACTTCTACTCTGATGTAGCCACACACACGGAATACTTCAAGAGCTCAGAAAGGATACAATCTCAGCATTTTACAAAGGTATTTTCTCATGAGAAGCACTAAGTGAAACTCCAATGTTATTTTTTGTGTTAGTGTTTCTTTTGAGACTGGAAAAGTAGCTCAATGGTTAAGAGCACTTACTACTCTCCCAGAGGACCCACATTTCTTTCCCAGCACCCACATTAAGAGGCTCACAACCAGCTCCAGGGGATCGGAGGCCTCTCTGATCTCCACCAGCTCTTGTACTCATGTGCACATACCCACATGCAGACACACACCTACATATAATTTAAAATCATAAAACCAGGCGTGATGGCACACGCCTTTATTCCCAGGACTTGGGAGGCAGAGGCAGGTAGAGCTCTGTGAGTTTAAGGCCAGCCTACCTAGTGATATCCTATCAAATAAATAACTAAATAAAAACAAAGAAATAAAAACAAAAGTTTGCCAGGCGGGTGTAGGGAGAAATCCTAGCCCCGCCCAATGGCAACCCAGACAGGTGCCAGGTGGACCCGGGACTCATCCATAAGGGCGGGGTGAAGGGAAGCCGGGGTGACGTAAAGGGAAGGTTCTTAAGGGCTGCACGTGGAGACTCTGGCCCCTTCTCTCTGGATATTGGGAATCAGTCCCGGGTCCACCTGGCACCTGTCCGGGTTGCCATTGGGCAGGGCTAGGGTGTCTCCCTACAATTGCGGGGCTAGAGTGTCTCCTTACAGGCAGGGGCTGGAGAGATGGCTCAGAGGTTAAGAGCACCTACTGCTCTTCCAGAGGTCCCGAGTTCAATTCCCAGCAACCACATGGTGGCTCACAACCATCTGTTATGAGATCTGGTGCCCTCTTCTGGTGTGCAGATATACATGGAGGCAGAATGTTGTATACGTAATAAATAAAATCTTAAAAATAAAGTCAAATATATGTATAAAAAAAGTTTGCTAGGCATAGTGGCATGCAGAAGCAGGCAGTTATCTTAAGTTTGATGCCATAATGGTCCATATAGGGAGTTACAGCACAGCGAGGGTGCAGCCCTATGATCCAAGCATTCTGGAGACTGAGGCAATAGGGTTACTTGAGGTCAGTGTGG